GGGAAGAAGCGAGAAGCTGGGGGTGGGGTGGGTGGGAGGCAGGGGGGAGGCCTCCGGCAGGTGCTGGGACGGCAGCCTGGGCGTCTCCCTGCCCCACACAGAGGGTGCAGCCAGGGGCCCGCCACACTCTCTGGACGTGAGATGCCCCGGCGCACCCCGCAGGCCCCCCACCCCTTTCTCCACGCCCTGCCTCCTTCAGGGGCGGGTGGATTTAGAAGCCACTGTCTGGGTGCTGGGTGTGCTCACGTCCAGGGGTGTCGCTGGTGGGCGGAGCTCCACGCCTGCACCACCGCGTCTCTCCCTGCAGATGAGGGGCTCCTCACCTGCCCCACGGGCACCCCATCCCTTGTGCAGGGCATGTCCAACTTCACAGGGCGCAGCTGGCTCCCAGGATCTCAACACCCTCACGGACCCTGGGGGCCCGGTCACTGCCCGTCCCTGGCAGGGGTGGGTCAACCTGTCAGGACGTGCTTTTATTTTATTTATTTTTAAAAATATTTTTATTGATGTCAGAGAGGAAGGAAGTGGGAGAGGGAGAAACATTAATGATGAGAGAGAATCATGGTCGGCTGCCTCCTGCACGCCCCCTACTGAGGACCGAACCCGCAACCCAGGCCTGTGAACTTGACTGGAAATCGAACCCAGGACCCTTCAGTCTTCAGGCCAACCCTCTGTCCACTGAGCCACACCAGCCAGGGCGCCGGCACATGAAGAATGTGGGTTGTTTTCTGTCTGGACTGTAGGATGTTGCGGCGTTTGTCGGCTTTCAAAAATTAGCCATTTGTTTTTAGTTCTTTTCAGATACTAAACAAAAATCACACTCCACCCCAGTTTTGCATTTCTTATTTTGTTCTATTTTTCTTAAAAGGGTCCTACGCTCTAGGCCAGTGACGGCGAACCTTCTGAGCTCGGCGTGCCAGCATTTTGAAAAGCCCTAACTTAGCTCTGGTGCCGTGTCACATGTAGAAATTTTTTGATATTTACAACCATAGTAAAGCAAAGGCTTATATTTTTGATATTTACTTTATATATTTAAATGCCATTTAACAAAGAAAAATCAACCAAAAAAATGAGTTCGCGTGTCCCCTCTGACCCGCGTCACAGGTTCGCCATCACTGCTCCAGGCCCTCAGACAGCAGCAGCCGGAGGGCCTGGCTGCCCTGCTCCCGGTGGATTCCGGCCGCAGGGGAGGGGAGGCTGGGACACGTTCCGGGAAGTGCAGCCGGAGAAACGCTGGCTGGACGTGTTGCTGTCGCCTGCGCCCCCTCCCCTCGTGTCTCAGGCCGCTCAGTACATCTCGCTCGGCCTGGGTCACGTCCACTGGAGGCTGGGGGAACGGCCTCCTGCCCCCCTCCACTCCCCTCCATCCCATCCCACGCCTCCCCCTCCAGCCCTCTCCCAGCAGCACCGCCCCCCAGGGCTGCAGCTCCAGGATCGGGGACAGGGTCAGGGGTTGGGGACCCACAGCCTGAGCGCTGGTGCTACTGAGGCCGCCTTGCCGTCCGCCCACGTGGAGGTGAAACCGTGAAAATGCCGGAGGTGACTTTAACCAGGCGGCTCTGATACCACAGGCACGGCCTTGAGCCAACGCTGTCCCGCGGGGGGCTGCCCGGCTCTGGGCGAATGGTCCGTACCCAGCGCCTCCCTCCAGGGACACCGACTCTGGCTGCCAGGAAACCTGAGCCCACAGACCCCA